CCGAGCCCTGTGCACGGTGCGCGAGGCGGCGGAAATGGAGGGACCGCTGCCCTGCGCTCCCAGGGGAAGGGCAGCACCAGGGGTAGAAGGCGGCCGTGGAGTCCTGCCCGGGGCCCCAGGGCCTCTGGTGAAATGGATGCGCCCTTGGAGGCGCCCCTGGGGCTGGCGTGGGACCGGGGGCCAAGCTGGACGGCTCGGTGGGGGCTGTGTGGGCTTGGCTGGGGCCTGGGATTGGCTGCCTGGAGGCGGGGAGGCTGGATTGCGGGGGGAGACCAGAGAGAGGACAGCGGCGGAGGGGCCGCGCGTCCCCAGTGCTGCGTGGTCGTGTCTTCTGCGGTCCCCCGAGACTGACTAACAAGCAGCCCGCTGCGTAACGAGGCCCTGCGGGTGCAGAGGAGCAGACGCTCTCGCGCGGGCTCTGAGACGCAGCCCTGCTGAGTGTACTTCATCAGCAGTCCTTTTCCATTTCACTTTTCATGCGCGGTGGCATGCCCTGGGCACGTGCGAAGAGGGACCATAATTAATCCTTCCCTCAGTCCTCTTCCAGCACCTGCTTATTAAGTGCCTCTCCTGTGCGGGTCGCCTTCTGTGCCGGCGCCTGGGCAGCTGGTGGCGGGTGGCAGGGGCTGCACTGGAGGAGAGCTTACGGCCTCACCAGGAGGCAGGCCTGAGTGACGCCCGCGCGCAGCGCGTGCGGGCTCGCGGCAGCCGCTGAGACGCCCAGGGCAGCTCCCGGGGGAGGGGTGCTCCGGCCACGCCCCCCGTGGTGCCAGCTGGAAGCAGCAGTGGGGGTGCTGCCTTCCGGAAGGGGGTCCTTGTGCTGACCCAGGAAGGAGTCTTGTGTTGACGGACATGTCCTCCAGTGCCAGCCGAGGGCAGCCTCCCCCCAGCACTGCTCCCCAAGGTTCTGCGCACAGAGCCTCTCGGCGAGGTCTCTCGGGGCCCCTCCCCTCCCGGCCTTGGTGCTCACCTTGGCCCAGAAGCTGTCATCCCAGACCCGTGGCGCTGAGGGAATTGCCTGGTGGTGTTCTGAGTCCATAACCACCGTGCCTGTTCTCTGGAAACCCAGCAAACCTTTTCTGGGCGGCTGGTTTCCTAGCCCACAGCAGGAATGGGTCTTCCCCGGTCTCTCCAAAGCCTTACCCATGGTGCCGTGCGCGCAGCCAGCCCGGCCCCGGGCTCCAGACGCGAAGGCCCAGGGCCGCTGCGTGTGTGCGGCTGGCCGCCCAGGCCTCGGCACGGAAGGCTCCTGAGAACCCCGTGTTCCCCTGTTCTCCTGTCTTCTTGGCAGGCGTCCTTACAGCCATTTACTGTTTAGTGCTGCGTTCACGACTGGCAAGAGACTTTGTTCCCCAAGAAACATTAAGGAGCGTTTCTTCAAACCTTTGCCTCCAAAAACTCAAGATATTTTCTAAAGCAAATTGGTATTACCTCCGGTATTCTTCAGGCCTTTTTGCTTATTTTTGAATTATTATATAATTTTTCTTTTTAGATATAAAAAGTTACTTCTGCAGCCACTTGAAATTCATTGGATTGTTTCCTCCGATAACATCACTGAGGAGCGGAAGCTCTCTCTCGGAGAAACCGATCCCGGGGCCCGTGCCCAGGCAGACGGAAGTCTGTGGAATGCGGAGGGACTGCGAGGAGCAGCGAGCCCCGGGTCCGGAAGGAAGCCCGTCGGCCCCGCTCCACCGCGTTCCCTCCCCGCCTGGAACGAAACTAGACCGAGGCGACCGCTTTCTCCAGGCCCTGGGAGAGGTGTGCCCGACTGCCCGCGGCTGTGTCCGGGGAGGGCGCTCCTCGGAGCCGCCGCCCCCGACACCCTGTCGCGCTCGGGCGCTCGGGCTCGGGCCTGGAGTGGGCAGGCGATGCGGTTGGGGCCCCACGGCTTGGCGGGCAGTGTGCGCGCCCACGTGCGTGGCCGCCTCTGGTGAGCCAGCAGACGACGGGGGTGGGGAGACCGGTCGTCGCAGGCACCGGGCATCGACTTGCAGCTCCCCGTCCACGTCAGAGACCGTCTGGAACGTGCCGGGGCTGGGCGCGTGCGCACCTGACTCCCCCGGGAGCAGACGGGCCAGGGCGCGCCGGGCCTGCCTGCACGTGCTCCAGACGGTGCCGGCCCCGCATGCTCCTCAGGCCCTGGGCGCCCCTGCTGCTCGGGAGTCTCGCCCCCTACCCCCGGGTGAGCAGGAGGGGCTCGCCAGCCCCGTGCAGCCTGCGTCCGTGGGCACCGTCCTGCCGCCGCGGGGCCGTGCCAGTTCCAGGGTGCGGCTGCCAGCCTGGGTGTCAGAGGGTCCCCTTGAGATGCGGCTCATCGCAGCGCTTGCATCACCTGTTGCTGGGGAGACGCGGTGCCCCAGGGAGGCTGCGACCGTGTTGCCCTCCACTTGCAGGGGGACACGGTGCGGATGGGTCTTGTCCAGTGTGTTTTCAGGTTAGAAAAGGTCAGGGTTTTTTGGTGGTTTTTTTTTGAATTTTTGGCTATATTTAGAACTTAGCTACCTGAAATCTTAAGAATTGCCCTTTTGAATAATTTAAGTTTTCCTAATTATTGGTTTTGTTGAAGTTAAATTTCAAAACTTGAAAAAATTGGATGGAAAGCTTTTAAAACGTATCGTGACATCTGCTCACACTCCATCAGAGCGCAGTGAAATAAGCCACAGCCTGTCCGGGCCGTGCGTGCGCACAGCCCCTCACGCAGCTGCCGGGCAGCGTCCTCCTGCGGCTTCGCGGCCTCCGTCCCACCGGCTGCGCCCGGGCCGGCCCCTCCACGCCCCCCGCCCGGGTCCGCTTTCACTGCGCGCCCTGTTGCCCGTGTTCCTGCCGGAAACAGCCCCTCTCCTTCCGCAGCCCACAGGTTTGCTCAGAGCCCAGCCACTCGGCCGGGCGAACGGAAAGGTACGGGCACGCGGGCGCGGGGCTGCCGAGGCGCCGCGGCCGAACTCCGGCCACAGGCTGTGCCTGTCAGCGCACGGGCGGGGTTGCTCCCAGGCCCCGAGCGCTGTTCCTCCTGATTTCAGGTTGTCGGCTGTTCTCCAAACCCTGAAGTGCTAAGGGTGAACCACGCGCACTTGAAGGGGACCTCGTTTTTCTACGCGTGTCTCCACTCGTGCTGGGAGTTCCCCACCCCTCCTTCCAGTTCACGTGCAAAGGCTCCGTAAGTGCCGAGCGCTGCCGGCCACTGCGGAGGAGAAGGTCGCAGCCCATGGTGGCTTGGGCCCGCCCTCCCGTAGCCCGTAACCCGGCCAGGGAACCGAGGTCTGGCAGTCCTGGCACCAGAGGCGGGGTCCGAGGTCAGCGTTGGGGGCCGTGGGGATGACCTGGCAACCTGCACGCTGGCGAGTCCGCTCCGCCGTCAGGCAGCGGCCTCGGAGTCACAGCAGCGAAGCCTAGTCCCGTGACTGCGAGCCACCTGGGAACCGGGCTTTCTGGAGTTCAGTTAAAAGTTCCACGCGTTTGTGGGGTGACACCTGCAGGCGCAGTCTTGTGAAACGGCAGCGGCCTCCTGGGCGGCGCTTGTCACAGCGTTTGCCGCTGTGGCCTGGCAGACACACCCGTCCTTGCGAGGTGTGTGCCGCGGCCACGGCCGGGCACGGGCGTAGTTCTGCGTGAAATGCGGCGAGGGTCTGTGACTCGATCCATCCGTGTTTATCGCCCCGAATAGCTGGCGCTGCGCGCTTTGTCCCCCCACCCCTGCTTCCGCCTGTGGCAGCCGCGCCAGTGTGCTGGTGTTGGGGGCGGCGCCCTCAGCGCAGAGGCAGGGGAGCTGCCGTGCTGCGGGCGAGGACGGCCCTGTGACCCGGGAGGGTCCTCACTGCACCCCGGCCAGCCTGGCGCCCGGTGCCGGACCCGCAGCCTCCAGAGTGCGGCCCGTGGGCCCGTGGCCCTCGCGGCGGCCGAGCTGCCTGGGGTAGGCGCGGCTCCCGGGGCGAGCTCGCGCGCCCTCTCCCACCCCCCGCCCCCGGGTTTCACCGTCGGCTGCCCGGGCCCACCTCTGGCCGCTGGAAGCTGGCCTCCGGAGAGGTGCCCGCACTGGACGCCACCGTAGCAAAACGGGAGCGCAGCCTTCGGGGCCGCGTTGCCGGCCCTCTCGCGCTCCTGTTTCCAGGCTGCTCACGGAGGTCACGCACGGTCCCCTGCGGTTCCGAGGAAAGGGGCCGCGAGCTCTTGCACAGACAGTGACGTGCGGGGCCGCAGCGCTGTGGCCGCGCGTGTTTCCTGACCGAGTGAGGGGGAGGTCGTGGGTTTGAGTTGCAGTGACATTGTGGCCGAGAGTCTCGGCAGCCCCAGGGACAGCCTTGGAAAGGCGCGGTATGGCCTGCGCGCGCCGCCGTGGCCGCGGTGTCTGTGGGAAGGAGGAGCGGCGCCCACGTGAGGCCCCTGGTGTGCGATGCTGCCCTCGTGAGCACTTCCCACGTCGGTCAGGAAAGACAGGGGTCCGTATTTGGGACCAGGCTGGACGTCCCCGCCTGCCCTGGCTCCCCGCCGAGGGGCTGTGCGTTCCGGCCTCGGTCATTCTCCAGGCATCGCCTCAGTCGGGATGTCGTGGACGCAGGTACCAGGGGACTGTGAGCTGCCTGAGGCCACCGCAGGCCGACTGGGCCCGGCCCTGCCATCTCCCTGCTGCGCTGGCCCTGTCGCTGCTGGGAGGGGACCGTGACAGGAGGTGTGGCGTCCTGTCCCGGGTCAGTGTCCGCCCGTGCCTCCCTGAGACCCGGCCGCAGGCCCCTTCCCCTCTCGTGGGCCAGGTCGGCTCCGCTCTCGGGCCGGTCAGCCACGGGAGGCGGGCAGGGCGCCTGCGCAGCGGAAGCGATCCCTCCTCGCAGCCCTGGCCGGCGCGGGCGCACGGCCTCCGGCCAGGAGGCCATCTTCTGGTGCAGGCGGCGCCTCCGTCTGTGCGCCCGCGGGGCGGGGCGAGGGCCCCGCCGGTCAGCCCCTCCGTGGGCACGGGGCGAGGCCGGGCCCGTCCGCACTCACGTGTGCCCTTCTTCCGCCCGCAGTGTCCTGTGGGAGCCCGCGGGCGACGGGAGGAGAGTGGTGTCGCTGGCGAACAGCCACATCCTGCTGTGGGACCTGCAGCAGAGCTCCCGCCAGGCCGTGGTGAGTAGCGAGCGCCAGCTTTCCACCTGCGCGGCGTTCCGGCTGGGCCTCCGGCTGAACGTAGAATGCCTTTCTTGATTCACGTGTGTTTAGAATTTTGACATTAATTATGAAATGATTAATGAATGGATTGAAATATCGATTAAAGAATTGAGTGATGGGCTCCATTGGTGAAAGCCGCTCTGTATCGGGCCTCAGGGCCATGGCAGACATGACAGAGCCCCGAAAGTTGGCGGGACTCCCCATTTTGTCCTAATTCCTCCACAGGAGGCAGTGGGATGTCCAAGAGTGTCCCTTCTGTTTGCAGGACATTGACCTTTGAAGGAACAGGTTTGCACAGTCTGCGTGACGAAACCCCTGTTCACGCAGGCACGCACTCACGGCGCCGGCCAAGCTCTTCGCAGGCCCGTGCGTGCGTGCGTGCGTGCGTGGCGGCGTGGCTGTGGCCGGCCCCCGGCCAGCGCTCCTCCCTGGGCGGCCGGGGCCCCGGGCCCGCCTCACGTCAGTGCTCTCTGGAACCGGGCCTCCTTCACATAATCCTCGCTCTAAGTCCTCCGTCCTTCGTGGAGACACTGTCTACTGCGTGGTGTGAATACATTTCCGTATTTGAGTCCTTAAGATTTCCTCTTTTAAAACGTGATTTTTACATGCGTTCATGATTTCACTGCAGTTGTTCATGTCAAAATACGGATTTAGAGAGGAAGGGCGAGGACTTGGAGGCGATGCAGGCCCGGAGCCCTCCCGCCTGGGGGAGCCGGACCGCCGCTCGTGGGGGCGCAGGTGGGCGGCTCTGAGGCCCTCCCCTCCAGCGCCCGTGCGTCCGCCGCCGCTGCCCGGCTGCAGCGATGGCAGGAGTGACCACTGGTCGTTACTAGCAGGTGACACAAAGCAGGGAGCGTCTGGCCAAGTTCGAGGACTCCTCGTGGGCAGAAGGGGGTCTCACAGCCTCCGACCAGAAAGGAGGAGTCGGCCTGTTTTTGTTCGCATAAGTAACAGCTAAGGAGAAAATCACTGTTTTTATCACAATTAAAGAACAAGAAGACATCTCTGTATCACGGAGCACAGTGCGAATGGCACCCACAGCTCCAGGATAAAACGACACTTGAAGGCGGCCCAGCGCCCGCTGCCCAGGGCTCGCCGGGAAGTCCGCGTCCGCGGGGGCGCCCCCTGCCCCTTCCTCCGGCCGCGCCGCCGTTGGCGGCCCGGGGGCCCGGGGCCTGGGGCGGATGCTCCGGGCAGGGGCGCGGGGGCTGCGGGGCTGGGCTGCCGCCCGGGCAGCGGTTCTCCCCGCAGCCTCAGGCCCCAGCCCCAGGACAGGGCAGGCGGCCCGCACCCAGCCCCGCGCCGTCCCCGACTCCTGCTCCCCAGGCCCTCCGTGCTTGCAGACCCCATGGCGGGGGCGACCCCTCGGGAACAAGCTTCTGCAGACCCATCCGGTTCCCTGGGCCCCTCCTCCGCCCGCCGCCCGCACGCCGTCAGCAGTGCTTCGTGACCCTCGGCCGCAGCGTTTAATGCCGAGACCCTCTGATCGATCTGGCCGTCTTCACACCCAGCTCCTCAGTTTTTTTATGGTTGGAGGATATTGCCTTGTGTGGGGATCTAATCTCAGGCTCACTGCATCATTACCCTTTGCAATTAAACCAGAGGCTCTTTGCCATTTATAATCATTAGCGAGGGCCCAGGGGAGGCCTGAGGCTGGCCCGCGGGGTCCCAGACCCCGGTGATGGCAGAGGCATTGCCCCCCCCATTTCGATCTGTGCTCATTCATCTCTGGGCTTCAGCAGCCTTCGCTGGCTGTGGAGATAAATAGCCACTTCTGAGGCGCAGCAAGCGGCAGAGCCAGAGGAAGCGGTGACCGTGACGGTCCGCCGCCCCTTCCCCGGTCCACACGTCAGCGCGGAAGCCTCCGCAGACGAAGCGCACGGCCCCGCCCCGCGTCGCAGGCCTGGGCACTCGCATGCAGCGGCGCCTCCCTGAAGGAGGACAGCGCGCCTTGGGGGCACCGTGCGCTCCTAGACATCCTGGTCACTGCCGCCTGCCTCCCGGCTCCCCGCTCCTGAGACGGGGCTCAGGGAAAGAAGGGGAAGGAAAGGGCAAAGGAAGGGGAAGGGGAAGGAGGAGACAGGGGAAGGGGAGTAAAGTCGGAGGCCCGTCTCGTCCGCTCTCTGGGCTTCACGCCCAGAACCTCAGGTCCAGAGCCTGGCGGGCCGGGCTCCGGCGTCGGCCCGCTGCTCACCGTCCGCGGGTGCGGGCGGGGGCCCCCTCGGGGTGCCGTCCTCATCGTCTCAGCGACGTGCCTGGTCCCTCCATGCGGGGGCATGACCCAGGACGCAGACCCCGCCGCCCGCCTCCCTCGCAGCACAGTGGAGCTAGACGCGCAGACGTGGTGGAAGCGGCCTCTCCGGCCTCCGGGCAGTGTCCCTCGCTGAGGGCACGTCCCGTCGCCCGTGTCTCGGTTTCCGGTGCAGAAACAGCGCGCGTCTCTCGCCCCTTGTCTTTTCATCCTCTCAGCAGGGTCTTTTGCAGAGCAAAATTTAAGAATTCTTTAAATAGGCTTCAGTTTTCAGAGCAGTTTTAGGGTAACAGCGGAACTGAGGGGCAGGTGCTGAGATTTCCCTTGTCCCTCCAGCCCCGCGTGCACAGCGGCCGCACTGCCAGCCTCCCCCGCCCCCGGAGCGGGGCTTGTCATAGACTCACGTGGCTCCAGTCCCCCCTCCGCGCTGCTCGGCGCGCGGGGAGCCCCAACACCCCGCGTCCCGGGTCGGCGCAGCCGGCCAGTGCCGACGAGGACAGTGGCGGGTCCCCTGGGCTGGCCCTTCAAAGACAGGCCCCGGCCTTGGGGCCGTGCGCCCGGGCGCCCGCGCTCAGCAGAGGAGGAGGGGAGGCTCGAGGACACCAGGGCCTTTCTGAAGGGGACCCCGTGTGAGGGACAGATCCGGCTTGGCCCCAGCCTCACCCAGCCCCCCACGGGTTCCTGAGCCTGTCCGGTAGCATTTCAGTGTCTCGAATGGTCAGTAACATTCGTCCTGGGAGGGAGGTTTGATTTTTGGATGCAGCCAAGAGTGATTTGGAGCAAAATACAGTAAGTTGGGCAGTTCACTAAGGCCGGTGAGGCCGGTTCACAGGAAACCTGTCACACCCCCACGAGGACGGGCTTTCTCGTGGGACCACGGTAAAAGGGAGTCGAGGTTCTGGAACGTCTCGTGTAGCCTCTGTGTCCTTCAGGTCAGTAGGCCCTTCAGAGCCACAGCTTCCAGAGAGACGCCACCTCAGTGTACGCTTCGGGGGTTTGTTAAAGAAAGCCACGATTTTAAAGAAAACATGGAGTTAATAACTGATAGCGTAATAGCTACATATATCTTATCATTTCGTGAATGTTGAAGACGACTAGTTTTTTTAACCGTCCAGTTAGATCTTGAAAGTAAATCATTAAACACAAACTGGGCTGGAGGTTGCTGTGTAGCAAGTGAGTGAGTGTTGTTGGCCAGGCTCCCAAAAGATTTCTCTTTGGCAACAAAAAGCAAAGAATACACTTAAAAACTAAGTGCACATGGTAAGAGCAGCCGCTCCGCCGGGGGCAGGGCTGCAGGGCCCGCGGCTGAGCGTGAGCGCGGAGGGACAGCGGCTGCCCGCCCCCCGCCCCCCCGTCCCCCCGCCACTCCCCCCGCCCCCGCGACCGGTCACCGCTGTGCGTCCGTAGCGCACAGAGGACACCTTTAAGTCCAGGTCTCAGGTTTTGCTGGGATCGGCCGGGGCGGGCGTGGGCCTGGGACCGAGGCGCACGGAATACCAGGGACGGGGCCGCGGGGCTCCCTGGGGACAGGGCGGCGTCTGAGGGGCGCCGAGCTGAGGGGCCCGGCCGCGGCGCCCGGGAGTCACAGAGGGACGCACGCCGCCCCCGCCCCAGCGTCCCGCCGCCCTGGGCCTCCGTGCAGGCCTCTGGGGGCCTGTCCCCAGTTCCCGCTCAGACCAGACGCTCCTGAGCTCCTGAAAGTGAGGGCGAGGCCGCGACACTGGGCCGTGCGCCCTGGGGGGCAAGTGGCAGAGAGCGCCCGGGACGCCAGCCCCCATATCCCCCCCCCCCGTCTCCAGAAGTCCCTGGGGCAGGCTTTCCCCCCAAACCCAGGTGGGACGTCGTCAGTGTGACGCGCTGGCACCGCGCCCTGGGTGGGCGGGGGCAGGGAAGGCGGTGGGGGGAGCCCTGCCCGGGAGGGGGTGTCAGCCCCCAGGCCGCCCCAGCGGGCGCCCTGGGAGGCCGCTGCCACCCCGTGCCGAGGTTCAGTTCACATCTGCGTGACAGGTTGAGGGACCCCGAGGCCGAGGGGGCGCGTGCTGGGCCCTGTCTCGGGGCGGCCAGGGGTTTGTCGCTCCGTACTGTTTCTCCAAGTGTGAGCAGGTTCTCTGCAATCGCTCCCCGGAAAGCCTTGTGTATTAGTGGGCCTAGGAACATGTTGTCTCTTTTTTGCTGTGCCGAGTTTCAGTTTTTCCCACGCAAGGTTCAGACACTCGCCTCATAAGGGAAGGAGACAAACACTGAGCCCCCGATTGTTCTCGGTACTGATTTTCCCTGCTGTCCTGGGAGCTGGGACACCCTCCCAGTCTCCGGGCAGAGGTCAAGCTTCCTCCCTTTCTCCTTCCTTTGGCAGCTGGCCAGCTCGGCCGCCCTGGAGGGGAAGGCGCAGCTGAAGTTCACCTCGGGGCGCTGGAGCCCGCACCACGGCGGCACGCAGGTGGCCACCGCGAGCGGCACGGCTGTCCGAGGCTGGGACATGCGGAGCATGAGGTCAGTGGCGCCCCCGCCCCCCCCGCCCCCCCGCGAGGTGGTGTGGGGCCCGTGGCTTCCCTGTCTGCGTCTCGCGTGCTGCTCCTCCCCACGGGGGCTGGCGCGGTCGCGGCCGCGGCGCTGGGTCAGCGCCTCAGTGCTCCACGTGGGCCCGCGGGCACTGGCAGTTCACAAGGAGTCCGTGGTCGGGCTGCAGTGTCACCGCCCACCCGGGTCTCCGTGAGCAGAGACCACGGGTGGCGTCCCAGCCCCTGGTCACGCGTGTGGCGCCGTCTGCAGCTGTTTCTGTGCCTGTCGGGGCATCAGAGGGGGTGTCTCCACCAGGATGCGCAGCCGCTGGCCTTTCTTATGGGTCAGGCAGGAGCGGTTTCCTGTTCCAGTTGTCGTTTGATAGGCAGATGTGTGGCTGTTGCCATGGTGACAGAGCCCTGCCAGCCTCTGGGAGGCACAGCTCGTCCCGCCGCGCACCTCCGGTTGTCACTGAGCCGGAGAAGGGGCCACCGACTCGCAGGCGTGCCTTCCAGGGCGGGGGCACCGCGTCAGGTTGAGCCCTGCAGCCCCTCCACACACTCGGCCGGCACAGGGTCGGCCGCCAGCGCAAGTCCACGCACAGTGTCTTCTCTGCCAGACCCGGCGGTGGGAGCCCCCACCCCCGCTGCCCGGCCGCGGCGTCTCTGCTGCCATCGCTGCCGCTCGCCAGCGGAGGGGCCAACTCCCCACGTCTGAGGGCACGGCGCTCGGAGAGTGAGGGGCACACCCCAGACAGAGCTGGCAGGCGTGGTTTTGGGGTGACGTGCTGCAGTCCCCGCCTCTGCCATGTTGGCTCTTTGGGGCGATGAGCAGCTAAGGGGACATGTGGCCCCTCTCGCTGAGCGGTGCTTCCCCTGCAAACTGCTTTGTTTATGTCAAGCTGGCAGTTTCAGTGCTTGTTGTACAGCGTGTTGTGCTCTGTGCTGAAGTTCACATCACCACCATGTGTGGGGAGCCCCAGGAAGTGCCCTGTGCACACACAGCGTCCACTCAGGCTTGAGGTCTCTAGTTGTATACATTGCCTGTTTCTCTTGGAAATCTCCAGGCTTGTAGTATCTTATTTTAGGAAAAAATGCTAGCATATCGGAGTGGTGAGGGTATAGAAACGGCCCCAGGCTCTGAAAACGGCCCAGGGCTGGAGAATCCAGCCTGGAGGATGAGGTGGAAGGGACGGCGCTTGTCGCCTCGGAGAGCAGGAGCGGGCAGCCTGGCGATGGCCTGCGGCATGGGGGGCAGCGCCCGGCAGGGAGCGGTCTGGGGTCCGCCCCGGCCGCTGCGGAGGCGCGGGAGGTGCGCCGCTGCAGCGCGAGCAGCAGCGACGTGCGGGACAGGCCGCCTGAGGGCCCGGCAGGGGGCCTCGCCCGAGCGGCAGGGGCGCCAGCCCTCGTTCCCGGCCACTGTCTCACTGTGCTCGGTCCCCTGCCCGCCGTTTGCAGCTGTGGCATCGGAGGCACAGGCCTTGAGAGGCACAGCCTGGAGCCATGGAGTCGGGGCGCCAGGCCCGTGTGTGCCCATGCGCCCGTGGTGTGCCCAGGCGCCCCTCCCCACCTGCAGGTCGGGGCGCGGGGCGGGCTGGCTGCACGGGGTCCTGGCGGAGGCGCCGGCCGCGTGGGCAGTGAGCAGTGTGCGTGGAGGTGGCCACGCCCGGCGTGGCGGCGCCGCCCGGGTCTGCGCGGCTCTTCCGTCTCCCTGGTCCTCTGGCGCCCCCGACGCCAGCAGTAGGGCGTTCTGCCCCGCCCCCACCCCGTCCTCTTCGACTCCTTTCCTCGGGTCGTCCTTCCCCGTGCACGTCCAGTGTCCTGCCTGGGCCTGTCCCTGCTCCTTGGGGAGGCCCCTCCGTCCCAGGGCACTGCGTCACGGTGTGACCGCCGCAGGCCACGGCACTTGCGCGCGTGCGGCTACGGGGGCTCTGCGGGGGCGCCCTCCCCGGCGGCCCCGGCGCTTCCGGTTCGCCCCCGGGCGGGGCAGCCCCGGCCCGACTCACGCCCGCGCCTCCCCGCAGCCCGGCCTACTGCATCGAGAACGCCCACGGGCAGCTGGTGCGGGACCTGGACTTCAACCCCAACAAGCAGTACTGCCTCGCGAGCTGCGGGGACGACTGCAAGGTGAAGTTCTGGGACACCCGCAACGTCGCCGAGCCCGTGCGGGCCCTGGAGGAGCACTCCCACTGGTAGGCCTCTGGCGCGGCTGCAGGGTGGGGGCGGGGAGGGCTATTTTGCTAAGTACCGTTCAGAAAGGCGCAGGCCAGCTTACTTTGCTGCTGTGAATCATCCAGCCAACCCAGTTCTAGTTTTTCCCTAAAGAAACAGTTTTGAATCTGAATTTTGGTGATTTATACACGTAGGGAAGGAAGAGAAACACTGGGTCCTGAATTCCCTGGAAACGCTGCAGTTCCCGTGCGCAGAAACGGTGTGCACAGGTGTTCATGCTCATTGTTTGCGACGTGGGGGCGCTGGGAACCCCCACGTGCCCCCCTGGAGGGAGTCCGTGCGGGGTGCGGAGGCCCCGGGACAGGGACGGTGGCAGTGTGCGCGGCACGGACCGCGCCCAGGACCGTCCTCCCTCCGGCGCGCTCAGGCGCGTGGAGCGCGGGGTGCGTGCGCAGCAGCAGCCTTCCTCACTCAGACAAGGCGCGCGCGCGTGCGGAGGAAGCGCCTGCCAGAGCGAGGGCCCAGCAGCTGTGAGGAGCCCTCGCCCAGGCCAGGGCACGTCCCACGAGAGCCGACTCTGTGGCCTCCGACTCCGGACGCTCGCCGCAACTGACCGGAAGCTGTGTTGTGTCCGCGGCCAGGAGAGCACACAGCCTGGGACGCGTGCAGTCTGAACAGATTCAGGCAGTGGCCGTGGCGGCCGCCGCGGGGCAGGAACGCCTGGGCCCCGTGTGCGGGCTGTGGGCGCCCCGCTGCCTGGCTGGGCCGGCAGCCGCCCTGCGTGACGGGCACTCAGCCCTCCGAGCGCCCTGGGCGGGGTCGGAGGCACCCGGGCCCAGACCCAGGGCGCTCCCCTCCCGAGGCCACGGCTCGTGGCCTGTGCCCCGGGGTTTGGCTTCGGGATTTGAGGGCTCGTCTGCGGCCCCGGGCCCTGCTCTGCCCCTGAGCCCCTGCCGCCACGGGGCCTCGCCTTGGTTGTTGGGGTTTAAGAGACGGTTTTGGAGGAACACGCAACAAGCCTGCCCCTTGGCTGGACCTTGCCGCGCGTCCAGCTGGGCGACGTGGGCGGCTGCGTGGCCGCCCTGCTCCCGGCGGGGAGGCCCCGCCCTGTGACCGCCGTCCCCCTGCCCCAGGGTGTGGAGCGTGCGCTACAACCACTCACATGACCAGCTCGTCCTCACGGGCAGCAGTGACAGCCGGGTCATCCTCTCCAACATGGCGTCCATCTCGTCCGAGCCCTTTGGCCACCTGGTGGACGACGACGACCTGAGTGACCAGGAGGAGCGCCGTCCGGAGGACAGGTAGGTGCTCTGGGCGGGGCAGGGACATCCTCTTCCCCGGCATCTCCGGGCCGCGGCTCTGGAGGCCGTTGGCGCCCAGCACAGGGCGCAGGGCCGGCGCCGGCTGGTCGGTGTGTTCCAGCATGGACGCCAGCAGGTGCCCACGTCCACGTCTTCCGATTTCCCTCCGTAAGGTCCTAAAGCCGTTGCTGGTCTTTAGACCCGTCGGCTTCGGTGGTGATGGGCCCGGGTGAGTGTTGCTCGTCCTGACGGTCTCTGCGAGGGCTCCTCGTCCGGGCCCCTCCTCGCCGCGGCCTGCCGTCCAGGGAGTGGGCTGGGGGCCGCGCAGGGCGGCGGGGGCTGCCAGCCGGCCCTCCGGCCCCCGCCCGGGCTGGTGCCCGTGTCCTTCACCGGGGACACCGTGCCAAGTGCGGCCCTGGGCGGAGCGGGCCAGCTCTGGTTGGGGCTGCGGCCTCTGTGCGGGAGAGAGGAGTGGGGCTGTGCCCCCGTCAGCCACGTGCGGGTGAAAGGGGACCCTCCCGCCCCTGGATCGGCTCCTTCCCGGTGGCAGCCGGGCCGGCCGTGAGTGAGCAGCATTCAGGCGCGAACGCAGAGGGTCACATCCCCCAGGCCCGGGGGAGGACGGCTCTGGGACCAGTGCCTCCCGAGCCCGGGCCGGCGGGGCCTGTCACTCTGTGTGAAAGCCTCCGCGCTGTCTGTTGTGCGAGCTCCTCCCCCGGCCTGCGCCCGGCCTGTCTCCACCCGCTGGCTGGCTCTTCCCTTGGAAACACGGGGGCTGAGGAGGAGCGTGGTAGGAAGGAAGGGGAGCGATGGTGCAGCGCCCGGTGTCCCCACGATACCTGCAGGCCTGCTTCCGTGGTCTGGCCACGTCTCATGAAATCCACACACAGGACACTCCCCACGAGGACTCGCCCTGGTGCCTGTAAGGAAACCATTGCAGACGTGACCGCTGGCAGGCCTGCCGCCCGGGAGGCCAGGCCCAGCTGCGCTGAGCTCCGGGCAGGACACAGGGAGGGGGTGTCTCCGCGCAGGGACCCCAGGACACTCGGCGCAGGTTTTTTGTGAAAAGGGAAGGGGGTGCCGAAGAGTTCCCCGGTGGGGGGACAGGCGGCCCTGCACGGGGCCTGGGCTGGGGGCCGCCCAGAGGGTGGCAGGCGGGCAGGCGAGGCCTGCGCTCCTCCCGCTCACAGGCGGTGTGGGGGGGCCACGGGGACGCGTGGCCGCGGCTGTGTCGGAGGAGGCCAGCCTCGAAGGGCCGTGGCGCGGGGCGGCCCAGCCCAGGGCCAGGACCGGGGCCAGCGGGCTCCTCCGTTCAGCGAGGGGCTGCGCTGGCCGGGCCCCGGGGCCGCTTCTGCTCGGGCATCACAGGCAGGATCTTCTCGTCATCGTCACATCCCCCTTTCGGTTCCTCGTGGACCTTTCCTGTCACCCCCCGGAATCCAGGGGGCCCCTTGTAGGTCACGACTAGCGCCCGCCACCCGGGCCCAGAGGAGACGAAGCTGCGCGGGGTGCGAGGGTGGGTTCCCGACGGTCCCGCGCCGCCGCGCGGGTGCCCGGCCACAGGGGCCGCCCGGCGCCCGGCCGAGGCCCCGGGGTGCCCCGTGGTGCAGACGAGAAGCCCGAGGCCCCCCACGCTCAGGCCCGTCTCCGGCCCCTGCAGGAGCCAGGAGCCCCCGCAGGATGGCGTCATCGCCACGTACGAGGAGCACGAGGACAGCGTGTACGCCGTGGACTGGTCCGCCGCCGACCCCTGGCTCTTCGCTTCCCTGAGCTACGACGGGCGACTGGTGATCAACCGGGTGCCCCGGGCTCTGAAGTACCACATCCTGCTCTGACCCGCCCGGGGCCGCGTCGCGTGCCACACGGGTGTGCTCTCTGCACCGAGGGCGCGGGCGTGGGCCGTGGCCAAGGACCCGCACGCCCCGCTGAGCAGGGGCCCCGGGGCCTCCGGACGCTGCCCGTGAACCTGAGTGCCCGGGCTCTGCTCACTGTCCGTCTTCTCTGTTAAGGACGCCGGGGTCTGTTTCACTGAAAAGAAACCTGTTTCTGTAACAGTAACTCCTCTTTCTCTTAGACCAGCGATGAAATAAATGAGTGAGGCCCTCGGGCCGCACAGCTCCGGGCTCATGCTTTCCAGAGCTCCAGCCCCGCCCGTCCTCGCCTGGCTCTGTCCTCTTGCCTGGGGTGGGGCGAGGGTAAGGGGGGGGCCTGTGGGCGCGGTGTGGGCTGGTGGTTAGGAAGCGCTGTCCTGCTGCCCTGCCTGTGGCCAGGGGGGAGGGGCAGACCGAGGCGGGAGGGCAGGTCCCGGCTCACGCGGGGCTCACGGCGCCCCCGAGCTCCCTGCAGTGACGGCCGATGGGGCAGGCCCATCGCTCCGGCCCTTCCGCCCACAGCCGGGCACCTGCTCCGTGAGGAGCCGCACGACCTGGTGAGGGGGTGAGGGGTGGGGGTGGACCTTTCGCTCTGTGGCCCTCCCTCTCCCCCGGGGCAGGCGCCTGCTTCCGCGGCTGTGGGGGCAGCCTGTACTGTCGCTCCTGACGCGGTGCCCGTTACTGTGTAAGAGTCTGCGCAGTGCCCGCGGTGTGCAGGGCCCAGTTTGGGGTTGCTGCGATGCTTGGTCCTGAAAGGAACCAGGGCACGTTCACGGCCTGCAGTCGCCAGCTGCTTTTAAAAGCTTTCACGGCCATTTGCGAGGAGAGCAGAAGCTGGGCCGAGGAGCCTCCTGCCCGAGCGGAGGCTGGGAGCTGAGTCACAGCTGCTCTGGGCAGTCGGCACCCGGAGGAGCCACGGGGGGAGCCTCACCATCTGCCCGCTGGGCACGGCCTCTTGCCCGTGAGCGTGCCCAGCACTGATTTCAAACCAGGTTCGAATTGAGGACACCAGTTCGGGAGCTGCGGCGCCGTGGACGAGCCTTGAGTCTCTGAGCGTGTCGCCCCGCCAGTGCTCGTGGCACGGTGGCTGTGCCGGCCACCCAGCGCTTGGGGGACCTCAGCCCCTGCCCACGGTCCGCGGCGGCCAGGGCGCCGTGGGTGGATCCTCTGGGGCCAGAGCTTTGGCAGGTCCCTGAGCTCTGTCCCCAGCGCGAGCCTCCTGGGGCACCGGGAGGGGCTGGGACGGCGGGGCTGGCTCAGCTGCCGTGCCCCACACACAGCCCCTCGTGTGGCCAGGCCTTCCTCGGGGCAGCAGGCTTTCCTCCTGGTCACTTGGGGGTCCAGGGCAGTCCCAGCCCGGGGAGCCGCAGCGTCGCTTGCATTGTCCATCGGCAGCAGCTGGTGCAAGCCCACCCGGTGGAGCGAGCCGTGTGCTCTGAAGGCCTGCAGCCGGCCGGCACAGCCGTCCACAGGCTCCAGTGTGTCTGCGACCGAGGCCTCTGGCCAAGTCGTGCCGGGGGCCTCACGTCCACTTGCAGACTGACCGAGTGGTCGGTGACGGTGTCGGCCACTAGCTGTCTGGTGGCACCAGCCCTTTTTATAGCAATAGAGCTCATTGGGGAACTGAGATGTTCTTTCCACAGGAGGAATCTGTGGCGTTCGGCCCCGTCTGACGCCCACAGGCCACACCATTTCTATGGCGGGGGCGCTCAGGTGAGGAGACCCCTGCAGGCGTTTGGGACAGCTGTCCGCACCCGCCTGGGCAGCCCTCCTCGGGGCTGGGGGTGAGCCCGGCCGGGCTGTGCGCAGGCTGCATGGGGGCAGACGTGGGACCCTTTCCTCCCTCCTTCCCTTCCTCTCCTTTTTCTCTTCCTTCAAGTTTTAGTGTGTATGGCTTTCCTAAAAAAAATTTTAATGGGCTTTTTAAAGTCTATTAATTAAATTTTAAAAACTTAAAGGAGTTTTGGATTTACATAAAAATTGAGCAGAAAGTAAGACAGTTTCTTTCCCATTGTTAACATCGCTTGTTAGTGTGGTCACGTTTCGTTACACTTGATGAGCCAGTGTTGATACATTGTTGTTAAGTCTATAGCCAAGGCCAGGGCCCACTCTCAGCCTTGCAGTCCCTGGTTTGGGCGCACAGACTCGCCCTCCCCGCCTCACCCACGTGGCGTTGCTGCGCAGGACCTGCTCTGGGCTCTGCTTGTTCCCCTGCCCCCCACCCCCCGGCCCCGCAGCCGCTGGCATCGCCGTCACCGTGGTTTTGCCGTGTTCAGGGCTCCAGTCCGATGGCATCGCGCCAGATGCAACCTTGGCAGGCTGGCTTCTGTCGCCCAGGCGCGCGCCCCCGCGCTTCCTCCGCGGCCAGTCCCGGCTGGACGGCCCACGGCCCCTCGGTGCTGAGTGGTGCCCCGCGCCTGCTGGGCCACAGCTCATGCCCCACCTGCCGAAGGGGGTCCCGGCCGCCCCGAGCCCTGACGGTGCGGGACGAAGCAGCCGGGACCGCCCGCGCTCAGGCGTCCGAGCAGCCGTGAGACCCCCATCCATGGAGGGGACGCCCGGCATCTCCAGACCCCGCTGCCCGGCGCCCGCTGCACCGGCGGCCCCTGGGCAAGGGCGCGCGTTCGCACCGTGCAGGCGGGACTGCGGTGGAGGGAGGGCGCCCGGCCCGCCACGGCCGAGCCCGGGCCCCGCGTCCAGTCGCTGCTGGGCGCTGCTCGTCCCAGGCCCTCGGGCGCGTCCTGTGGGCCTGTGAGGGACAGGGCCTCTGCCCCCGAGTGGAGCCCCCTCGGTCCCCAACCCCAGTGCGCCTCACGGAGAGCCGGGGTCGTTGTCACCCCCCCACGCCCAGGGAGCCGGCCCCTCCCTGCCCCCCCATCCCGCTGCTCGGCGCCCCCTCCCTGTCTGTGCGCCCGCTCGGAGCCGCCTTCCAAAGCACAACACTGGCCTCGAGACGCCCGGCCCTGTGCCGGTCACCATCCCCCGATCTGGGGCGGGAGCCGGGCGTCCGCGACACCGACAGCAGAGGATGGCCGGGGGTGGGGGGGTGCAGGAGGCTGTGCCTGCCCCTCGGGGTCCTCACGCTGCCTTGAAGGGGCCTGGGGGGCCCCGTGGGGAGGGGCTTCTCTGTGAGGCAGTCTGGCTCTGAACCTGTTTGTCCTGCGCCCACAGGCGAGTCCCCGGCGGGGCCGCCTCATCCGGCCAACGTAGCAGCGCGGCCTCCGGCCGGCCTGGGGCCATCGTTAGCTTTGCGGGGCCGGGCCCTGGGGACTGCAGGAGCCAGCACTGCCTGCTAAGCCTCTTGGGGGGGTCGTGGGAGCCCCGTGAGGACGCCGCCGCCACCCCTCTGTCGCTGACTGCCTCTAGGGGGCGGGGCGGTGCCCCATGTGTGTCCGTGTGCCAGAGCGGACACAGGGCTGGGCCCGACCCCCGCAGCACAGCGGCCAGGAGCCCTGCTGTCCCCTGAGCAGGAAAGGCATGTCTGTGGCCTCGCCTTGGGGGACCCACACAGGCCACGGGGTGCCTGGCTGGGCGCTTGCTGTCTGGGGGGGCGTGGAGCAGCACCTCGCATTCCGCCGCCGCGGGCTCCCGTGTTGCTCCGGTGAGGGAGGCGAGGCCCTCAGGCCCATGTGGCAACCACCTGCCGTGGGCGGGCCGGGCGGAGCCGCAGACGCGGTCCCATAGCCGGCACCCGGGACCTAGGGAGTCAGTGGCCGCCCACACCCCCACCTGGCGGCAGGAGGCGGGGCCAGGGGTCTGTGGTGCCGGTGCCGATGCCGGTGCCACGAGGACCATTCTGTCCTGCGTACCCTGCCTCCCAGGGCCATGAGCCGCGCCTCTGCCGGCTGCCCCGCCAGGGGACACCCTTGCTGATGGCGGAGTCCTTGGCGCGCAGCAGGAGCCTCATATACCCACCCTGCATAAGGAGCCCGGCGAAGCCACAGAGCCCCCGCGGGCGCCGAGCCGGGGACCAGGTGGCTGCCGGGGGCAGGGACGCCTCGAACGCGTGTTGGGTGCCCCCCGCCCAGGCCCCTGGGGCCTTTGTCCCTGCAGCTCCCTCCTCGGCGCTTTGCTCTGAAGCCATGACAGGTGACAGGTAACAGGAAGGCTACATGCCCGTGGCCTCCGCGAGCTGAACCCAGACGCGCGGGAGTGCCTGCCTCCTGCCCGGCTGCTGCCGGGCTTCTTAACCGTCGAAGCTGATAGCCCAGCTCACTTCGTGATGTAGCTCTTATGGTTTTAGGAGACTTAGGCGTGATTTTTCGTAGCATGGAAAAGGAAAATAGAACTGAATACAGCGTAACGATGAACCCTTCGACTTCTGTGTCTGAAGCTGCTTCTAGGCGTAAGCTATTGCGTAATAATTCACGCCCTGCTGTGTCTCCAGGCTTAACACGCATGTGGAAAACGGCTCCATTGGCATCGTTTGTGTGTGGTGATTGGGCCTCTTGGGGCTGGCGCGGTGGCTGCCGAGCGGCGGCCTGTCAGAGGGAGGCGGCCTTGGCCTGCGGTCCTGGGGCCGGAATCACGGCGCTGTCTGCCTGCACTCCAGCGGGGGTGGGGGTTCCGTGGGGGGGGAGCCTCCGGGGTCCTCCAGAACCCTGGGTTCCTGTGGCAGGTGTCGTACGTGGCCAGAGCCGACGTCTTAGGCGAGCACAGCCCAGCCCGTCCGCCTGGCCCGGCCCCTCGCCCAGCGCTCAGCTCGGGGCGGCCGGCTCGTGCGGTCCAGGGTCCTAGGGCCCCGCTCCCCCACATGGCCCCATGGCCCTGCGCTCAGGAATCGGCCCCTCCTTCCTCTCCCGTGGCTCTGGGCTCGTGGCCATGAGCCCATTGAGAATGGGAGCCCCGAGCCCACCTTAGAATCCGCCACGGACGAAACGTGCCTGGACTTGGGGGCCTGAGCAGAGTGGGGACCGCGGGGTGAAGTTGGGCTGAGCTCCCGCGCACAGGGAGCCGCAGCTGCGGGCCCTGCTGGCGCCGGTCAGCTCGGCACCTGATGGGCCTGGGGGACGTGGGGCTGCGGGCAGGGCTGCTACTGAGAAGCCCCCAGTCCCCGACTCCATGGCCTCCGGTGCGAGGGGGCTGCCCCCTGCCCATCCCTGCTGTTTGTCACACGCCGGCTGCCACCCTGGGGTCCTCGCAGAGGTGCCCCGAGGCAGTGACAGGCACGTTTCTCTGGTTGTGTGACCGCAGGCGGGGGCAGGGGGGTGGTGATAGAGCCGGGGGAACGGCTGCTGAGAAATGACG